CTCTGGTGCAAATTACTGACCTCTGTCATCATTTTAGGTGGGGGAACTTGCACAATCGGTGGCTGACTAAATACTTTTTTGCCCCACTATATATTTATATGTATATAGTCCTTGGACAGGTCTCCAGTCCATCACAGGGCAAACACGCAGCAACTCAGAACCTTCTCGCTGTGAGGCAACGCTGCTAACCACCACACCGCTGTGCCACCCTCCTACTTTTGTTTCTGCCGTCTCGCCAACGTTACGCATGTATAACTGCGTGCTAGAAGTCACCGCAATGTCTGTCATATCTATAGTGGCATGACGCCCCCTCACTCCCCTCCCTGAATCCCCTTTTCTCTCCGCCTATCTCTGTCTCCGTCTGCTCGCACGGTTGCTGGGCAGCTCTCAGGCGAGCTGTCTGCTTTCTGGGACCAAGTTGGGATGACAAGCCAGGGCTGAGGCGGGCAGGATGAGGGGGGCGGATGCACCCTCTTTCTGTCCTTGTTGTTGGGGTCACAGCTTGTCCCCCAATCACCCAGCACCTCCTCTCCTCTCTTTCCCTTTTTTTCCCCTCCTCCCTCCTCCTGCATCCCTCTTCCGGTTCTGCCAAGCCCGTGCCTTCGGAATAGGGCGCAGCAGGCAGTTAACCAACTGTTGCCATGCTTGAAGGGCAAAATGAGTGGGAGAGAGAAAGAGTCAACACCACCCTGCTTCTCGCTGCTGTTAGTCAGCGGAGATAAATGTAGGTGCCACAGCGAAGTCAAGTGCAGAAAAGAAAGGCACTGTTTTCTCTTCATGACATCTTCAACTGCAAAAAAAATATGCCTAAACTGTAGATTTAATCCAAAATTGCAGGGATATTGAGCCCGGGTATTTAACAATACAAAATGCAACTTTTTCCGAACTTCTTAATCAGGTTCTTAATCATTAGGGGGGGAGATAAATTCTAGGCTGATTATCCAGCTGGCACAGGAGCTGCTGTAGTCGCCCAGCGTTTCTCAACATCTGCCTCTCAGGCTGCAGTGTTTTTATACCTCCCTGTCAGAGATTAATGCGTGCTGTGGATAATTTGAAGAGGCAAAGTGTTGGAGACAGGAACACGGGAGTCCCTTGACTTTGACAGGAAGCCCTGAAGTGAGTGTTGACAAGTGATACTTGATGTGCATGACGCTAGATGCCAAAGCTGTAAGAGGAGGTGAGCCACAGGAGACAGTTTGTCATTTCAGGGGCGGGAGGGGGGAAGACTGCAGCAGAGCCGGTGAACTGACTGGTAGTGTATTTGAGGAATGCGGGATGATGCTGCATAGTGGAAAACACCCAGAGGAGGCCAATGACATGAGGTAGCATCCCGTCAGTTTGGGTGTTGGGTGGACGATTTAAAGAAAACAGAACTTGATGTATTTGCAAAATTCATCTCAGTTCGCATGAGGTTAAAGGCTAAAAATAACAGAAGCTTCAAGAGGTGCAGTTTTTAATCAGCTTTAGTTGAAGTTTTAGGGCAATCAGATTGACCAGAAGTGTTATTCCCAACAATAACCACCTCCGACAGTTTCCTCTTCTCCTCATGAGATGATTACAGGAGAAAAGGACGTCTCATTTGAAAGCCTGAGACAGTCGAGACAGCACAGGACATATAGGTTTTTCTGACACGTGTCTGGGTGCAGATAAAAAGGAGCAAGGTGAGGTAGCTGCTTAGTAACAACAGGTAATAAAACCCAGAGACTAAATGTGTACAGCATTGAGCTTCAAACGGTGTCAGGTGTGCGTGTGCTTTGTAATTTCTGACCATTTCAGTGACTTGAGCAGAATCTTACTTAGATTAAAGTTTCCTTTTAACCTCAGATGCGCTCAGATTTAGAAAGCAGCGTAAGTCATTAGTTTAAAGTTTAATAGTTTTGTAATGTAACTCTTTACATGATCATTTTCAGTTTTATTCAGTTTCTGTTAACTTTTAGATTGTGTTTGCTCATTTCACTTTTTATTTGTTATTTTAGTTTTAGTTTATACTTATAAATTCACTTTATATTCTTTATATTTTGCTATAAAAGTGTGATTTACCCAAACAAGTGCAAGAAAATATAAAGACATTAGG